TTTCTGATGTTGATTCAAGTTCTTAGAAAAATAACTCACTGGCTTCTCCATTCCAGCCTCCTCATCCTGTAAGAAAACTGTTTCAATCCCCAAATCGCCAATGTCTACTGCTAGTTTAAGTGGTTTGCTAAAGTTAGGTGCAGTTAGTACGGGTTAATTTGTTAAGATTGCTTTCAGCATTTCAAAGACTGCCTGGCATTCTGTTGACCTTGCCACCTTTTGTTTTTGTAACAAATTGTTTAACGGTATAGCCGTTATACTAAAATTAGGTACAAACTTCTGATAAAATCCATACATTCCCAAAAACTTCATTATATCCTTTTATTTTAGACTTTCCAAACCTTTCTTAATCTTGTGGCTTGCCACTAATCTTTGCCACATTTTATGCGTTTTCTTTCAATTTGATGCAATTCTTAACTTAAATCATAATTGGCTTATCTCCTTCCTCGAATCCTTCTTCCTCGCTGCAATATATCTTTGCTGTGAACCATGAACTAATTTAGTAAAATATCTGACATTTGTTCCTCAACTGCCTTTGCTACTAAACTCCTTTCACTGTCCACTCCAGCCAGCTTTGCCCACATTCCTTTGTAATTACCCTTATTTAAGTGTGGCACAGTTGGTTACAAATCAGGTTCCTCACTTTAAGCATAACACAGTTGTTTTCAATCCAGGTTCTTACTTCTCCAACTGAATACTAAATTCTGTCATGTTAAGGTCACTGTTTCTGAGGGGATCTTTAATTTTGACATTAGTCATGATCTCCCTGTGATAAAGCCATGCTGATTATCCTTGATTAGTCCTTGTATTTCCAAGTGGAGTTTAATTCAGTCCCTTAGAAGGCATTTTTTTGGAAAAAAACTAGTATTGATTTTAGATGCAGTGGTCTTTACTTGTCTGGTTGATAACTAGCACCCCTGAATAATGGTATCACATTAGCTGTCTTCCTATCCTCTGGCACCTCTCCTGCGCCAAGGATATACTTGAAAATTGTCAAGGCCTCTGCACTCTCCTCACTTGCTGCCTCCCATAGGGGGTAGTAGTTTGAGACGCTAATCATATATACTCCATCAGATGGCAGTCTGTGCGATGGATGCAATTTGGAGTTGATTATCTTTATCTTTATTTGGGAGAATGCTGCCCCACAGAGGTATGTGGAGCCAAGGTAAGATTTCACTTTAAAAGCATTGGATGATAGAGGTGGGATCTTTCTCTGTTTGCGAGTCCCCAACTATTACTGACTCACGATCTGACTTTCAGCTCAATATAATTTTGTATACTAATTATTTCAATATCCACTCCACTGCTTTGTAACTCAAATACCTGATAGCATATGACAGCCAACCAATTAATGTTTATTTGAAGAGATGGACTTAAGACAAGATTTACAATTTGCTCCATTACATCTAACCCTGAAATCACCCATTGTATTCCTCTGCTAACTTCCTCTGTTATGCTTAGCCTTATGGATGGAATCTTTTTTATTTAATTTCTAGTATTTTCTCAAACTCAGGAAATATTAGTGTTTCATTTTTTAATTGAGAGGAACACAGATCCAGTTTCAATTTAAATCTATTCAAGGACTGATCATTAGTGTGACATCTCTTGCTTTCCCCACAGTTCACAGTTCATCATGTTCAATTTTGACATTTAGGTTGTAAGGAACCCAAAGTCGAGAAACAACATATATACTGACAGTTCACTGCATACTTCATTCCTTGACCTAAAAAAAGAAATCATGATTTTTGGCATCAGATCCAAAAAGCTTTTCAAGACCGACCTTGACTTAACGAACACGCATCAGCATGGAAGATGAGTTCACCATAAGCAGCATCAAGTTTGTTGTTCAGAATTTAAACAAGCGATGCAAAAGGGCACTTGCTTGAATAGGGTTTACAATTTTAACTTCCATTTCATGACAAATGTCCATAACTTTTGTCACTAATACTTGCTGGTGATTATGCAGTAGTAATTGACAAAAAAGAGGAAATCCAGATCATTTCTGCAAAATGCAACAAAGCCCTAATTTGTGCCAGGCATGGCTGATGCATCATCAGTTGTGATGAATACCTGTTTCTTGATTGGAATGAGTTTCTCAAGTACATGTGTTTTGAACTTGTTGTAAATATCTTCACCACCTTTCTCTCTTTAAAGGTCGAAAAGGTGAGAAGATCCTCAGGAAGTATTGGTCATGTTGATAGATCAGTTGAACTGCAGTGAAAAGCATTCATGGTCCTGAAAGACCTCTTTGGCCAAAGATTATGCGTGTCTTGCTTTGTGCAAGTACCAAGTGGCATGCTTTGATTTTCATTATTATTTCTTCTTTGGTTTATATCTTTGAATAAAGTGTCAGAGACTATAGTCATTGATTTTAAAAAAAAATACTTTGCCAACTGTGAATGATTTGTGCGTTGCCACGAGGTAGCAAACACGTAATGATGCTTCAGCGAAGGCCTTACCTTTTGCTGCTGATGGAGAAAAAAATGGCAGCTGATAGCTTTCAGCTCATCAACTTCGTTCAAAGAATAATCTTGAATATACTGTGCTTGTTGTGTGGTGTTATTCCAAATTGCCCTTTTCACTTCTCGATGTAATTTGGTGACATATAAAGCAAACGTTATATCTTACAGTTGCGAACAAAAATTTGTTTTCCTATTCGTTGTGAAATTGAACGTTTTTGGTTTCTTTTTAGAAACAAATATCTTCTTTGGCAAATGGACCAAAGCTTTGTAATTTCAGCATTCCTTTCTGCCAACTAGCTATTCAAGTAATCATTGCTGAAACAAAATCAGAAATTGCTGGAGAAACTGAAGTTCTGAAGAAGGGCCTCTGGATTTGAAACATTAACTGTGCTTTCTCTCCAGAGATGCTGCCACATTTGCTAAATTGCTCCAGCAATTACCATCTTTGTAAAAAAAATTCTTAGTTTCCTACATTGTCCATGATGTGCATATTTGTTTCTCCCACACTCTCTCTATTAATGATGTGGAGGTGCTAGTGTTAGACTGGGGTGGACAAGGTCAGAAATCGCATGACATCAGGTTATAGTCCATCAGGTTTATTTGAAAATGCAAGCTTTCAGAGCATAGCCCTTTTTGTCAAGTGAAGTCACTTCAGAAACCAAATATTGTTTCTTGCTATAACCGACATATAGTTTTTCTCTTCTCAAATCAGCAAGGTGGATCAATCAATTATGCATTATCGTCCTGGATAAATCTTGCCTGCTGGATCCTTCAGCAAGTTAACGATTTACTATTACTAATACTACTTGACATTAGTGCAGCAGTACAGAGTAACTCTTATTTAGTACACACATTGCATTTTCATTTTCAGTATTGTGCAAGGATGTTGTTTCTTGTATTCCAAACTATCATGAGTAAAAGTGTTTTTGTATGATTCATGTTGTATTCCTTCCTATTTGAAGTAAGAAACTACAGTACTATCATTTTAAGTTTTACCCTTTGTGATCTTTAATGCTAATAATAACTCCTGGCTATATCATTTGCACATTCTTCCATGTAATGGATAAAATAAAAGATTGAAACAAGCAATGGAATCGAGTGTGTTATGATACCGGTCTCATTAAAGCTTTGTCTTTGAACTTGATACCAGTATGCAGATTCATAAGTTGTAGCTTTTTATCATATAGACATGTATACAAAATTTGGCATACTTTTGTTACTAAAATTTTGAGCTAAGTAAATTACCAGCTGAAACACTAAAATAGTGGCTCAATCTTGTCAAACAATTAATGTCTTAATGTGACGTCATATGTTCTAAATATTGTGTTGATGGCTCCAGTTATCACTAGGCTGGCCAAACAAATGTAGTGTACATTTACCCTTGAAATGCAGCAATTGATGTGCAATAGAACTACTTAAACAGTAGATTTTCGTTTGTGCAGAACAAACTTTTATTCCTGGAATACAAACAAAATACAGAAGTGCCTTTTACCTGACCAGCATTTTGGATCATCTGTCCCACGGCAATTTTGCGAAAGGATTGTAGCAATCAGAGTTTTGAAGTGTCTCTGGATTTTTGAAACCTTGATTCGGAAAGCCTCCATCAAATTTCAACGATCCATATGAGATAATGTAAAATACCATATCCTGATCAAAGAATACATTTTTCTCCATTATCTCTATTCATGGGGATTTCAATTTTGCAGGTTTCAATTTGACAAAAACTTTGATATGAATTCCCATTGTGATACTTTGATGTTTCACCTCAAGAATGTGCAGTACAGTGGGGCGGCAAGGTGTATAGTGGTTAGCACTGCTGCCTCACAGCGCCAGGGACCTGGGTTTGATTCCATCCTCGGGTGACTGTGTGGAGTTTGCACATTCTCCCCGTGTCTGCATGGGTTTCCTCCGGGTGCTCCGGTTTCCTTCCACAGTCCAAAGATGTGCAGGATAGGTGGATTGGCCATGCTAAGTTGCCCATAGTGTTCAGGGGTGTGTAGATTAGATGGGTTATGGGGAATGGGTCTGGGTGGGGTACTCTGAGGGTCGGTGTGGACTTGTTGGGCTAAAGGGCCTGTTTCCACCCTGTAGGGGTTCTATGATCTATGAAATCCAGATTGGAATGTGTCTGTCTGTCAGCCACTAATGTGAAATGATTTTGTGCTGTTTCAGGTGAACTTTCTAAATTTATAACACAAAAGAACCTGTTAAATCAAGCTATTGTTTTTAGTTTATTTGGAGACCAGAGGAAATAGAAAAAATATCACTAGATTGTAGAGTCAATATTTTCACAGTAAGAGGTCTGTAAATTTGGAAAATGGAAAGTGCATTGATATACTTGATTTCAGTGTATTTATTGAAGGACTAACAGATTTCCACAAACTTGGTCTTCAGAGTAGGCTTCTTTTTCAAGCAAATGTTAACTTTTTATCTCCCCATGAAACCATGAACTTGCCTGGTTCAAGTTTTTAATCATTCTGTTGTATCACCAAAGTTAGAATTTGAAATTTGGTTAATATTTTTCCGTTTCTTTTACAGGAAGGTGGAAGTGATGATGATCGTAGATTACAACAACAGAGGTAATTGTTAGAACTGCATTGTGTCATTTATTTTCTGTATGTGGTCTTTACTTTTCACTTAAAGACTGAAAAGATAGTTACCATAAGGTTTATCTTGAAAATTTATTTTAAACCATTAATATCTTCATTCAATTACTAGTGGTCAAATTAGAAAAAAATATTTTCATGCCATCTGTAAAGAAATGTGGAATCCTGAGTAATAAATGCGTAAGTTCAGTTATTTTAAATCACTGATTCCAAGCAAAAAAACAATAGAACTGGAGTTTCAATTTCCAAAATATCTGTAAACATCTGATTCATTAAATAGAACTGATGTTATTCACTCACCATTAGTATCTGTGTCCATAACTGTCTTAATTTACGTGTCCTACAGTTTCCATTATCTGTACATTTAGTTTCATTCACATTCTCTAATACACAAAGTTTGGGACTTAAGAGTTTTATTTTGAAATGGTAAGTACAATTTTAAGAAGAATTGACTGCAAGTGACTGAGCTAAATTGAGGTGGATAGTTTCAATTTATATTTCCTAGGTAGTTTAAGATATAACTTATCCAGCCATTAATAATTTTAAAGATTCAATTTATCCCAACTCAGTGTTTCGATTTAACACGTTTCCAAACTCTTAGCACATTTCATTCCTTTCATTAGATTGCTCCAATTCTTCAGTCATTTATCAAAATCTTTTTGAGTTAGCTCATATTGACATTCTTTATTGCCACTACCCCCAATTTGGTATTGCCTATAATTATGAACATTTTGGGTGCAATTCCTTTCTCCAAATCATTTATAAAAATCTTTGGGCATCACAGAGGGCGAAACTAGAATACCCAGTTGGTGACTGTTAAAATTGAGAGAAGCAATGGAGGAAATACACACATAGGCATAGGTTTGGGAACAATGCCAAAATGTTGACTGCTGTCAAGGATTGTGAAAGTTTGTAAGTCTTGATTGCCAACATTGTAAATCATGATACTCAAAGAAGAAACATCAAAGGCACTGACTGATCCTTGTAGCAATCATCTGGTTAATTGGTGTTATGATCAAGTTAGGAGGGGAGAACTGATTCTTCTCCTTGTCCCACTTCTCCAAAGACCGCAGTAAAGTTTGAACTTAAAAAGGGAAATGAGTTTGCAAATTAAAAACATCAGAGTATATTGTTTAATATTAAAAATAAGTCAGCCACATTTCTTATGTAACAACTATGTAAATAGGTTATTGCAAACAAAGTTTGCTCAGGCAAAGAATATAAAGAAAAGTTTTAAATTGTGTAAATATATACAACCTGCTTTTGTGAAAAACCAACACAGGCAGTCACTGTGGTGATTTGTAACAATGTCAGCTAGGTAGACCTCGTAGAATATGAGTTCTGTGAATGGTGTTGTTAATCTGGTCCAATCACGAGGCCCTGGCTGACAGAGAAGACCGGGAATGTCAAACATCCTGTTCACTCTGAGAGCTGGTTTTGAGGGAGCTGGATCAGTGTCATGGACTCTCCATGTGTAAATAAAGGGTGGCTTGGTGATGGGGATACTGGCCTTTGGAGTTATTTCACTCAAATCCTCCAAGTTTGGAAAGATATGTAAAACTCAGCAGTGTTAGATGATTTGGCTAGTCAGCAGTTAGTTATTTACAGATTATCCCATAGTTGCTGTGTAGCTGAAGTGACTTACACACAGGCTGTGTTCACTGGGTTGTCTTCCTGGGTCTGCAACATTTTCTGGAAGCAGTAGAGTTGATCCAGACTTTCGTCTTAAGCACTGTTGGGACACAGCGATTAGGCCTTCCAGTCTGTTTACAAGTGTTGCAAGGGAAGAGGGGAATAAAAAGAGAGAACAAAGAGCTCCTGAGGTAAGTTACCACTGGTTCAAAATCCAGCTTTATTGCATACACAATTGGGGTCACTTGACCACTCACTGAATGTGGTGTACACTTGCTGAATCCAGTGAGCAGCTTGTGTTCTTTGCAAATGCAACATTTTCCCCTTCTGTACCTATCTTTCTAATCAACCTGTTCAGAGATGTTATTACATATCTCTGGAGCTGGTGAGACTTGAATCTAGGTCTACTGGTTCAGGAGTAGGGACATTACCACTGTGTCACAAGGGGGCCTTCGTATCCAGTCTCCTATGCTTTGGAGATAGTAGGAACTGCCGATGCTGGAGTATCTGAGATAACAAGGTGTAGAGCTGGATGAACACAGCGGGCCGAGCAGCATCGGCAGTTCCTACTATCTCTGAATCAATTTTAACCCCATTAACCCCAAAGGCCAGCCTTTCTGAAGAAGGATCCAGACCGGAAACGTCTGCTTTCCTGCTCCTCTGATGCTGCCTGGCCTGCTGTGTTCATCCAGCTCTACACCTTGTTATCTCAGATTCTCCAGCATCGGCAGTTCCTACTATTCCCAAAATGTAGGCATATGCTCAGTCAATGATATTCTAAATTAATATTTCAAATAATACATCTTAACAATGGCTACTCACCTGATATTTGCTCGTGCAGTACTGCGCATTCTTGTCTACCAGCTAACTGTTTGCTGGTCCATTTTAATGTATTTCTGTGTACTCATAGGTTACTGTGTAAGGTTGAAACCCACTATGTGGGACAATTTCAAATGCCTTCCTGAAATTCCATTTATATTGATGGATGTAAATCCCATAAATCACTAAAATTATTTGGAATTTGTTATGCACTTCTTCTATTGATCACTAGGTGGGGATAGATGTACAGCAAATCTGTCCAACAGAAATTGCTGGCATTTGTGGCAGCGGCAACATCATTCTAGTCATGTGCGCTAATTTTATTTTAAAAATGCCATGCATATATGTGCAGAATGTACCTCTTGTGTAGGTTCACTTAAAGTCAGTAACTTGTAATGAGCAAAAACATTTCCAGCTCGTGCTTTTGTTTTGTTTTGTTGTTACCAGCAAGTGCGCAGATTAGAATGAATAAATTTTGAGATCACATGCATAATGACAATACTTGTTTTCTTTAATAACGCAATTTATAACCTCTAGGTTGGCTAACAGCTTAAAAAGCATTGTAATTGGCTTCATTGGAAAGTGAGAGGAGTTCATAGAACCACATGCAGGGTTTGAACCACCATGCTTATGCAGCAGTTAGATTGTGCTGCAGGAAACCGATTTCTACTAGACAGCAACATTTTTAAAATGAATTGATTAACAACAAAAGATGGAAAATTGGAAGTAGTAGGGTGGATGGCAATACAATGATGTAACTGATCATACACAATGCATGTAGACGATAATTGTCGAGTCAAACCTAATATTTGAAACTTAATTAAGGGCATTATGACAACATGGGGGAATAAAGTGAACTTTTAAATTTGGGTTGTTACTTCCAGGTGTAACTAAAAGAAATTTAAAGATAGTATCAAACTTTTTTTCTTAAACATGCCTATTTTCATAAGGACTACAGATATTTCATTTGAAAATTCAAATTGGATCATGAACATTTGTATTATTTGTTTTCCCTTTATAATTCAAAGTAAAACTGAAAATGTAGTTACTTATTGGTTACAGAAAGACGTGTGTTTTTGAAGATGCTGAATTTTGGTACTTTCGTGGGACTTACCAACACCAGATTTCCTTGGGGAAAAATATTGCTGAACAGCAGCAGGGTTTTGACTGTTTGTCCTTGAAATAAAAATCTCTATAGATATTTGAAAAAAGTAACTTCATAAAGTACGCATTGGTCCAACAGGAAGTCAGTCTGAGGACTAATAATGGAAAATAAGGTGATGGCAGATGAGTTGAGGACGCTTTGCATCTTCAAGCTTTGGTCAAGATCCTATGCTGTTTTCCAATCTCATATGTAACATTTTTATTCAACAGGGGAGAGAAACAGACAGCAGGAAACTACAGTAGCTTAACATCAGTCAAAGGGAAAATTTAGAATATATTTTTAAAGACGTTTTAGTAGAGCATTTAGAAATATTTGAGATAATCGGGAAGAGTCATTCTGGTTTTATGAAGTGGAAATAATTTTCCATCTATTTATTTGAATTCTTTGAAAAAATAATATTCTGTAGACCAAGGGGAATCTGTGAATTCTCTGTACTTCGATTTCCAGAAAGCATTTGGCAAGGTGTTGCATCATAACTTATTGCAGAAAATAAAAATTCACACCGTGGGTGTAACATATTGGCATGGATAGAAGAATGGATAGCTAAAATGAATCTGAGAATAAGCATGAATGGGCTATTTTTAGGTTGGCAAGGTGCCGTTATGGTGTGCCACAGAATTCAGTGTTGGGGGCTCAATATTTTGCAAGCTATACAGATGACTTGGATGAAAGAACTGAAGATATGGCAGCTAAATTTGCTGAGGATTCAAAGATGGATAGGAAAGTAAGTTGTGAAGAGGGCAGAAGGAGACTACAAAGGGAGATTGCTAGGTAAAGTGAATAGACAAAGATCTGCTTGTGAAGTATAAGGTACAAAAGTTGAAATTCTGCCTTTAGACAGAAATAATTGGAAAGAAAAGCAGATCATTTAAATGGTGAGAGATTGCAGAGCTCTCAGATGCAGAGGGATCTGTTCATCCTTGCGTGATATGCAAAATGTTAGTCTGCAGGTTCAGCAAGTAACTTGCAAAGCTGTTAGAATGTTAATGTTTATTGCAAGAGAATAGAATACAAAAGTAAGAACGTTAAGTTCCAACTGTTCAGAGCATTGATTTGATTTCAATCATCTTATTTATTGTCATAAGCATTTTGTTACAAAATATAGTGAAAAAGTTGTATGGTATCACTACTCTCTGGCGCTGTCTTAAAACACGGAAAAATAAACCAAAACGTAGAATATAAAGGCTGAAAAATAAAGTTCAATTTTACAGTCCTTGTTAAATGCTCAGCCACGAGTCCCCTCACTACACCACTTGGACAAGAGTTGCCACTCTCCAGCACCATCTCGCCGCCACCTATGCTGCTGCCCCCATGAGTCCTTGTTGGCCAGTGCAGCTGCCAAAGATGCCACTGGGTC